AAAAAAAAAAAAAAAAAAAAAAAAAAAAAAAAAAAAAAAAAAAAAAAAAAAAAAAAAAAAAAAAAAAAAGGGTTGTATTTTATCCTGGTAAATGTTAAATTGAATGCTGGAAAACATATGCAGTTCCCAGAACAGAAATTCCAAGTTTTGCTCAGCTTTACTTAGTAGTTTGCAGATCAGAAAGCTGCTTTAACCTACTTCCTACCTGCAAGCTTCGATTCTCTGTCACCTGAAATGCCAAGTGGTTTCACTGGAAGCAAAGAATCACCTTAACTATAGCAAGTAGAACCAACAAAGCTCACATGGATTCCCTCTTTGTGACCCATCCATCAGGCTTCTGATTTCAGATGGCTTGCAAAGCCTCTGCATCACCAACTACAAACAACCAACAAAACGCTTACCAGCTAAGGCCATCGATAAGCGAAACTCATCCTGCAAAATCCTCAAAACTTCTTGAAGACCTTCTTCACCCTGCTCGAACAAAGAAAGCAGTCAGGGTAAAAGGAGTACTGGCACAGAACAATGCTGCAGGATGCTTGCACTGTGAGAGCTGTGAGAGTCCCATAAGTCCCTGCCAATTCCAGTCTCTCATACAGATGGATGATTAAAATTATGTGATGGATGTGTTCAGTTCATCACAGATTAATTTAGATGCTTTTTCTTTTGTGATATATCTGAACAGGGAAAGAAAACAAAGCTGTTTATCACTTCTGACATTTTCTAGCTGGTTTTTGTTCTTAGCTTTCAGTTAACCTCCATCAATGGGCTTGTTGTAAAATGTGGAGCCTTACAAAGCTGACAGTATTTTATGAAGTAATGAGAGTTTTATATATGGTACAGCTTTAAAAACTTTAGTTTACTCAGATACCAAACTGAATCAGACAATGCCAGTGCTTGTTCATGCCCTTCCTCTCTTGTATGCTAGGGCAATGTCACTGAGATACAACTTTAGGGATAGTCTATAGAATATAATAAAAAGGCATAGCTGAACTCAAAAAATCTTATCTCCTTTCTGTTTGCATTGTGGAAAAAAACACCGTTTTCATGTTAGGCCTCTTTTCTCTGTTCATTGGCAACAGAAACAGTGCTGCCAACTCTTCCAGGTTTCTCACAAGATTCAGGTGATTTCTTGCTTAGAGCCTAGCTGCTGGAATCCACAGCAGTCACACCACTGGACAGGAGTGTCGCTTAGAAGACAGGAAGTGATTCCAGACCTTTTTTTTTCTTCTAGACAAAGCTTGAAAGTCCAATCCAGAGGCTAAAAAGCAAAAATTTAGCAAAGCTAACAACTGGTATAATTACATTTTAATGTTAATTATATTATGTTAACTTTCTGCATCAGAGGCCTAATTCATGACTCTGGATCATATGTTAGTAGTTCAGGAGCAGCAAAGCTGGAACTGAAACAGTAGTGGCACGCTCAAGCAGTTGTGCTCAGCCTTGTCCAAACTTTTCCATACATCAGCGAGATCAAGCTCTACATGTATTTCTGAAGAATTCATAACACCACTATGAAACTGCTGTATTAAAACCATATATTGTTTCCAAGTAAGCTGACAGCAATTAAAATTGTCTGACAGCA